TGAGTAAATGTCTTAGATGTCATCAGTATTACAATAATCACCCATTTTGGCATTTGCTTCTCAGAGGACTTGAATTAACATAGAGTTTGGAGAAAATATAAATAATTTGGTGGTGGATGTGGTAATCAGGAGATATGTATTGGACATTCAGGTACAGATATTGAACAGGCAGTAACGTACACAAATCTGAAGATGCAGGAATTGAGACGAGAGGGTTAGTCTGGAGGTAGAAATTTGGGAGTTGACTATCAGTGATATTTAAGCCATGAAACAGGATAAGCAATGTGAATAAAGAGGAGAAGAGGTCTGGGGATTAAGGGCTGATGGAACACCTCAACCAGAAAAGATGAGTGAGCAAGAGGTTGGGGGAGATCAAGAGAATGCAACGGGGAGGAAGTCAAGTGAAGAAGGTTCTTCAAGGAAGTAGATAATCTTGTAAAATGCTGCTGATGGATCAAGCAACATGAATTCTGAGAATGAATGATTGAATTTAGCAATGATGGGGAATTGCTGACCGTGAGAACAGTTTTAGGATATGCAGGGGAGGGAGGCTGATTTGAGTGGATCTTCAAGAAAGAATGAGGAAAAATTAGTGAATATAGAAATGGAGTGTCAAAGTGCTGTCAAGGAGTTTTGCCATAAAAGAGACTTGGGAGAGGGGTGTTTCCTAGAGGGTGACATAGATTCTAGGAGTTATAAAAAACTCATTTGTTTGCTTTTGTTTTTGTTTTTAAGATGGGAAAAATTAATCATGCTTATATGTTGATAGAAATGATCCAATAGCAAAATAGCAATTGATGGTGTAGTAGGAAGAAGGGCTAGGCTCTCTGAAGCCATGTCCTAAAGCTGGAGAGGAGGGAGAGGATGGACAGTTCAATCCACATAATAGGAGGAAAGGCAGAGTGAACAGGCACAGGTGGAGGTAGGTGGATAAATGTGGGTGTCGGCCCTTGTGGAAAATTCAATTCTATTTTCTGAGTGAAAGTGCAATGAAAAGGAGGTGTTGGAGGTCTATATTTATCTAGAGAGTGAATACATTCAGGAATTGCAGTATGATTGCTTAGCAGCATTAAGAACCCATTTGGGGTTGTAGGCAAGAATGTAAAAATGAAAGCAGTCTGCATACGTTGGTTTTTTTTCTGTCCTCGTGATCAGCTCTGTGGGGGCAGGCCCACGGAGGCACAAGATCGGATCTAATTAGGATTTGAGTCTTACTGATTCCACACCAGGAAGAGCGCGGCAAGGGGAGTTGAGGGGATAAGCAAGGGAGTGATTCTAACAGAAGGCAAGTGAGGATGTTTCCCATTAACCCTAAAGACATGCCACATAAGCAATTGTCAGTGTGGTTTATGAGTAAAACCCTCCTATGGGACATTTTATTTCATGTATCAGCATGGCTTGGAAAGAGGTTTGGGAGTGGTGGTGCTTTGTGAAGGAAAATCACCAAGGGAAGCCCTAAAACACGTCATTTGTAACCGGTATCTTGTACCTAAACTGAAGGACTGATAAGACAGAGATATTAATGGTTAATATTTCAAAAGAGCAGGTTTTTCATGTTAACAAAATGTTTCAGCGGAAATGTTCATCAAAGCCTTAATCTTACCCAATGATAATCTGTTGCTCTGATAACTTGGGCCAGCATGTATATTTTCTGCAAAAGCTTAGTCAAAGATTTTAATCAGAGTAAAAATTCCACATTGAAACACAGCACTGAGATTTCTACCTCAGTTTACTTCTTTATGCACCTAATACATTATATTTAACACTAATTTGCATTAAAATGATAAATGCAACAATTCCTTGTGTATAAAAGAAAAGAACCCAGTAACACATGATCATCATGCCACACTTCTACTAGAGACACTATAATGACTTCTTAAAAGTGCTCTTTTAGATGTTCAAGCATTACCTCTGTGCACGCAAATGTTTTAATTAGCGTTCTCTTAAAAGCTTAAAGAAAGCCAATAATTCCATTATTTATATTTCCAAATTAAATACATTGTTTTGTAGCAATAATTCTTACATTTGTGAAAAAATATTAGTTTTTCAAATGATGGGATATAAAATTAAGTTATTTCATGTTATTTAAATTAAATTTGGCTTGCTTATATGTACGTTGCTGATAAGTACGCTGATACTTTCTCTAACAGCAAAGTTGACTAAGCAATGGTATTTAAAATTTTCTTTTGAAATGTCCACATCTTGACAAAATATATACTGCTAACATATCACATTTATGAAGTACATGTTAAGAATCTTTGATGGTAGAAAAATGTATCTCTATGGAATACATACAGTTTTTTCATTTTTCTAGCTATTAATTATTCTACAGATATTTTTCTTGTCTAATAATGGCTATAAAGCATGGCAATAGCTGTTCCTTATAAGCACCATTCCACCTCTGAGAATAAGCTGAAATTTTTCTTAAGGCAACTTCTCTGTCCACAAGAAATTGGCTTGCCTGGCTATGAAATGAATCCCTATCCACAGGCTGTGTGGGAATAATGAAATCTATAATATGACTTTTAGGAGTATCTTTTTTGGGGTCCAGCAGATTGGGGTTCATTCCGGACTCTATCACCAGTATGTGGAGTGTGTGAATTAGGCAGGTTATTTTACCTTCTTTTTTTTTTTTTTTTAAGATTTTATTTTTTTTTATTTTATTTGACAGATAGAGATCACAAGTAGGCAGAGAGGCAGGCAGAGAGAGAGAGGAGGAAGCAAGCTCCCTGCCGAGCAGAGAGCCCGATGCGGGGCTCGATCCCAGGACCCTGGGATCATGACCTGAGCCGAAGGCAGAGGCTTTAATCCACTGAGCCACCCAGGCGCCCCTATTTTACCTTCTTATACCTCAGTTTTACCATCTGTGTTTGCCTCAAATCCTCAAATAGAATATTAAATATAAGAGACTAGGACTTAGTCTGGTTTAAGAATCTCCAGTGCCCACCCCACAGATGGGTCCTAAATAAATATTTGTTGAATGAATAAATGTAATAAACTAATACTTACAACAGTATAATAATAATTGTTTAATAGGGATATTTTGGGATTAATGACATCATGCACAATGAGTATAGAACACAGACCCGGATCAGAGCAACTATTCTTAATGGGTAGAGTTCTAGAGAAGCCACAGAAAGTTTGGCTTCTATACCTAACTTCTGTTTCATCTTCAGACTATGGATGGGATTTATACTAGAATTAGTGGCCCTATGCTATACTCCAGCACCTGTGAATTGTGTAAGAGGGAAAATATTTATTTTATTACCATTCATATCTCCTAAATCTTTCATAATATTTGGGAGAAGTGGAAATAAGCCAAGTGGATTAAAATGTTTTAGCATACAATCTGAAACTCATGACATCACTGAAAATGTTTTCAGAGCTTAAGCATGCATACCAGAAAACCGGAGGTAGTGTATATGATATTTTATTGATTTAAGATGCATATTTAAAATTTTTACATATCCAAAATCTGGATGCATTTTATAATCGATGGTCTCTTATAATTGAATGGCTTCTCTTGTCTTTCCTCCCTCCCTCCCTTCCCCTTCCTTCCTTCTCCCTTCTGTTCTTCCTTCTTTCCTTCCCCCTTTCCTCCCTTCCCCACTTTTTTGTGGTACATAATACAATAGGGTGTTTTAAATAGACTTGGTGAACTATGGTAGAGCCATATATTAAAGCAGTATTTCTCAATGTGTATTTCTTAGCACCATCTAACCCTGGCAAAGAGCCTCCTAGGCAATGTTTCCTCTAATTTTCTACCCCACGACATTTTAACACCATAGATATACTCTATATCTGTTCGTGTACTGCATGTATGTATCTGTTTTATGAGTAAAAGGACTGATATTTTGCCCCCAAGAACCAATTTCACCCCCTTGGAGGCACTATTAAACACACTGAAAATGCAAATTAAAATCTCCTCAACTAGACTATCGGGAATCATTAACTAATTCTCAGGTTTAGAACTTCTGGTTTTAATCATATAATAGAATGTCCATGAATTTCATCATTATCACGGATGCAGTCTGAACATTTGCTATATGCCCCAGCAGTCAGAGGGCTATAATATTTTTTGTTAAAAAAAAAAAGATCTTCCAGTTCAACCGGTGGTATCATTTGACATATCATTCTCATTTTATGAAATAAGACTATGTAATAATTTCGGTATCTATATTTAGGATGTTCATTACTTCACATTTATATATTTGTGATTTTAAAGACATAATTTGAACACCACATCAATAAAGAGATTTTTGAAGACCCTCTGATTTCCCAGGGATGCAGAAAACGCCTGCTCTAGGCTACAGGAATGCAATCAGTGGAGAGGATGAGAAGGCACAGTTCTCAAAGTCTCTATACAGCCTCTTTTGCTGTTGGCTAAGCAGTTTGGGGGTTCCTACCTCTGATAGTAACAATGGGAATCAGAACTTAGTCCCTCTGTGACCAGGGGTTTGCACCAGAGAGAAGACAGGGTCACCATCTATGGCCGTCAAATCAGGATTTTTGCTTGCAAAGAGAATTGTTGTATTTAACAGTTTTAACTGATGGAGAAAGGAGTGATTTATTTACTTGGAGAATGTCTTTAAATAGCCAAGTCGTTCAGGATGTTCCTAAATATTCACTTATCTTTGCTCTGGGCTACGCAGTTTAACTCCCATTCTCTTAAATTAGTGATGCAAAGAACTTCTAAAATCAGTGATACGTAAAGCTTTAAACTTTATGGTTTGTATTGCACTCTTATTTTATAGTTGATGATTCAAACCTTTGGCCTCCTTGTATTGGGTTGTGTTAAATGACTAGTGGTGAGACTCAGTGTGCACTTGGTTTGGGGAACGTGAACTATTCTAGCAGACCAAGCAATGTATCAGTAAAAACTAACACGGGTGCTACTCAAAAGAGACTCTTCAACAGTACACAGACATCCATATCATATCAAGACTTTATCAGTTGGGTTTAGTTGTACACAAGCTTTTGTACATAAATTGAAAGTGAATTCAAAACCAGAAATCATCGCCCCCACTGCTCCTAGTACTTGCCCTTTCTCTGCCTTTTAACCGAAGCATCTCCATGATGCTCCGGGCATAGACATCCCTCAAGTTAACGCTGATATAGGAATCAGTGGCTATATTCTTGGTGAGTTTCTTCAGAGCTTCCCGCTGTCTGACGGCTGCTTCCTTCAGCTTTAAGGTGAAGTAGCAAGCGGAGAAGCGGTCGTTAATAATGGCGATAGGCAAGGCCAAGACAAGGATTCCTGATAATATACACATGAAGGCCACAATTTTGCCCGTGGTGGTGTCTGGTCTAATGTCCCCGTAGCCCACAGTGGTCATGGATGTTGTGGCCCACCACCATGCACAAGGGACACTTGTGAAGGTTGTGTCAGGAATGCTTTGCTCAGCAAAATATTCCACAGTTGAAAATATAGAAATTCCCACGGACAGAAATAGGAGCAGTAGGCCGACTTCTTCGTAACACTGGGTGATTGTCATCCCGAGGGAGCGTAATCCTGGAATAGAACAACTGTCGTCAGTCACCGGCGCCCCTTCCTCCCCTCGCCACCTTCCATTTCCCTTTCTTCCCCTCTCCTGCCCGGCTATCTGTCCACAAACATGCATTTCGTATCTAACATGTCTCCAGCATTGGGCAATGTTCTGGGGATACCGAGATGATAAATCATAATCTTTTCCTTCAGGGAGCTCATAGTCTCGTTGGTGGGGCCAGATCGCAAAGGATAGAAAGAAATCTGGTTAGGTTCATTCATCTACTTACACATTTACTAAACACCTACTATGGAAACACACACAAAAGGTGACATATGAGGTTATAAGGCAGGCAGGGGACGATGACAGGAATGACACTTTAGTCCACTGCTGCGTGGCACGTGGAGGGCTCACTTGGCCAGGCCTGCATTTCCATGCATCACTTTGGCACACAGTTTAATGCTGTCTCCTTACATTCTATGTGTCTGCTTTATTCACCCTCCTAACGAAGCTGAACATAATCAGGGCGTTGCTATCTGAAAGCCAGAAGCAGTAAAGAGCGTCCACCAGAAGAACGAGGTGAACCGGCAGGAGCAAGTTAGGCTTCAGTGACCGCACTGACATGAGATCACGCTATGTCTGTTCACCGTCCACAGGGCATCTTAAAGGCTTATCAGGAGGGATTCCTGAACTCCCGTGACATGCACTGAAATTCGCACCCATAGTACCAAAGCTATAGGGAAACATTTCCCTGGAGTACATAGAATTTCTGCTTTCCTGTACAGAGATAGACCTGAATACAGATTATTCTTTCACTGCGAATGGTATGGGGGACTGAAGCTACTAGGAAATTCACTCACTATGAGGCATTGCTGCATTCCCTACTCCTATGTGATACCCAAGAGAGTCCAATCCCATCTCCAGAGAAACTCAGCCCTAAGGAGAGTCAGATGAGCCCATAATGGGACTAGAGTTTGAAAATGGCATCTCCCCGACACCAGATTTCACAAACACTGCTAAAAATTTTGAAGTCATATCAGCCTGAAGGTCAGGCTGTCTCTGAAGGTCAGAGTAATACCTTTTAGAATCATTTAATTTTTATTCACTAGCGAGTATTTGAAATTGCATTAAAATGCCATTTGTGCCCTCATTATTTTTAAATTTTGTTCTTAAAACTTTAAGATATTCTTAAATTATTTACCAGCTATTTTTAAAAATTAAGGAATATTAATTTTGACATTTAACTTCAAAAGAAGATTTTTTTTTTTAGAATATCTTTTAGGAAACTGACCTTGATGTGTCTGCATTGAATTGTATTTCTGAAATATATTGACAGCATGAGAAAAAGCAGTGTTTAGAAGCCTGTTTTCATTTCAAGATGAAATGTTCTAAATAATTTTGTAAAGAAACACAAAGTGGTCGGAATTTCTGTATGCTACATCTATTAACTCAGATAATACTCAAAAAACAATATGAGATTGATGCAATTATTATGCCATTTTCCTGATGAGGAGACTGAGACACAGAGAAGTGGCATGTCTACTACAAAGCTACATAGCCAGGATTTACACTTTAGCTCTCTGGTCCACCATTGTCCTCCTGTTATTCATGAATACCTCTCAACTTGTATTTATAGTTAATACATAGGGAAATATGTCATCAATGTCTATATATTGCTAAATGTGATGCACAACATAAAATTGTCAAATATTTATGTAAGCGTTCATATCCTTTCAATAAATTAAGGCTTTATTAATACTTTGTACTGCTTTGGATTTAAAAAAAAAACTTTGAAGAGGTGACACGGTGTAAATTACTATTATTTTCTTTTTCTTTTCTTTTGGGAAAAAAATGTAGTCTTCACTGGGTGTTTTTAAATCGAATCTTGTAAGGAGTTTATAAATACTAGGAGAAAGCATCCTATTATGTGTGTCAGAAAACAAAGAGTGGTACTTCTAAAAGTTGTTGGAAACCCCATTATCAAATCCCTGCTCTGTGAGACTACCTAGGAAAATACACTACCAAAATTATGTTAGGAGAAGTCCTAATTACCTCAGACATGTGGGGAAAAAAATATTTGAAGTTAAGTTCTCCCTATATGAATAGGGAGAGACAATGACCCTCAACTTCGTTTAGGTGACCAGTCAGGCATATATTTAGGGAAATAAGGTGGTAATGGGACTTCCTAGCTAAATTACTTGTATTTTGTGTATTGTGTTAATATGTACTGTCTTAACACAGTATCCTCCTACTCCAGTGTTTTCTAAAGTGGAGTCCACCAAAATCCCTTGTGAGCCTGTTAAAATGTATGCTCCTCAACCCACCCCCAAATATTAAAATCTGTCTCTTCACAGATCGGGGCTCAGAATTTGCTTGTTAACAAGCTTTTCAGAGGGTTCTTATTTTCATTAAAATCTAACATAAGGGAACTCCAGAACATCCAACAGCCACAGGACCAGCCACTGAGAATTCTTGCCCTCAGGAACTCAAGAATCATCCTTAATGGATTTGTGTGACTACCCCAGACCTTGACTCTAACTTTCATGCAAAACTGAGTGTTGTGTGGGGATTTCTCTAGGGAGAGCGTTCATTAGATTTTCATTAGATTTTAAGGAATTCCTGTTACCATCTCTCTCATGCATCCAGGTTTACGGACAAGAAAATTCTCAGATACTAACTAAAGCATTAAAGCATTTAATCAGTGTCTTCAGCTTTCTTCCAAAGCAAATATATCCACTGTCTCTTCAAAAAGTATGGGATGGCCACCAGTGCCTGGTCATCGCACTTTCTGCATGGCTAAAGAAAGCCCTACAAGGCTGACTTTATTTTTTGCCCAGGAACGTGTGGGGTAAGCCCTTCCTTGGACACAGAAGAGAAAGTGGCTTATGTCCCTATATATCATGAATAATTTATGCATCTTTTTATGTGCTGTTTATGCATATTTTATCTAGAACCTTCTACAGGCAGAGTGTCTTTAATTTTTGTACAACTTCTGAGCACTGGGTTAAAAAAATCGAGGTTAACAAGCGGTCAAACTGTTTTTCACCTGTCATATGGAGAGAAGGAGTGGGAGAGACATCTTCTCTATACCTGATAACAACTTCAGCATTTTGCTTCCCAACACCTTTTTGGAGATCCTGGTTGGGTAAAGGTTGAGAGTTGGTAATTCAGAGTATCAATTCACAGTCACTTCTCTTGGACTGTAGTCAAGCACTAATGGTTACAAACAATGGCAAATTAAAAAGCATCACTGAAATTTGAATACCTGTGGAATGTCTGCCCAGCTTTAGCATGCGTAGAGCCCTGAGCAGCCTCAACACCTGCACAATGCGCCCCACATTTTCCAGCTCCTGTGTCGTCTGGCTCCCACTCAGGCTCTCTACCAGAAGAGTGATGTAGAAGGGCAAGATGGCTAGGAGGTCTATGATGTTCGGCACCTTTCTCAGGAAGCGGCACCTGTCCCGCACGCACAGGAAGCGCAGGACAAACTCCCCGGTGAACCAGCTAATACACACGTACTCCAGGATTTCCAGCAGCTGCAGGTCCAGCCAGCTTAATTCAGCTGACATCAGGGCCATGTTGACGATGGACACCACCACAAAGATGATGGAGATGACCCCAAAGATTCGAGCAGCTGTGGAAGATCCAGGTTTCTCCAGGATGTTCCAGAGCTTCTGTCGGACAGTGGGACAAGGTCCTTGGGAGAAGTCCTGTTCACTCTCATGTTGACTTTCCTGGTCTTCTGTGTCCTTCTTAAAGTCTAACGTTTCACTCAGCTCCTTTCTTCTGAAGTATCTTTTAGAGAAAACAACTTGGTGATTAATCTAACTTTTCAAAAATATAGATGTCAAAAGAAAATTAAACTTAGCAGTGAGGTCATGCTTTTTATGTTGGTAAAATGCAGGAAATGTCCATTCATATTTTACCCAGGCTGTCTCCTTCCCACAGTATTCAAAATTTATTCAGGATTATTATTTTAAAAATGACCCTTTCTTGGTGGAAGTTTATACAAAAGGATTTATATACAACAAATCTACTTTAATGCATTTTATTACTCATTTTTCTTGTAACAAGAACATAAGTTTGCCATATGGAGCTTTTGTGTGCGTGTAATGGAAAGGTCTTCATGAAGAACTAGCACTAATAGCAAGATAAAAGCAAAGTCATCCTTAAAGTCCCACAAACATTCACAGTCAAGGAACCAATTTTTTATCTCCTGTATTTAAAGTAGTTCTCCCTCCAAGTTTAGTGTTCTTCAAAAACAAATGATGTATTATACGTTGGCTAACTGAACATAAAAAAATGTCAAAAAAGAATAAAGAAATAAAAAGAAAATAAAGTTAGTGTTCTAGGTCTGATAAATGATAAAGCTCCCCACTGAGACCTCCATCTCTATACATTCATCTTTTGGATTACAGCTTTTCTGACTCATTTATTCCATCATCAAATATTTATTTCAGACCTGACCTCCTTTACCTTAAAAACGAATCGGCACACGTTCATTCAAAAAAGGAAGAGGTTCCGAAAGTTCCAGTCCAAAGGTGGCTCTGACGCTTTCCAGACCTCATCGCCACCCCACCTTAAACAGCTCAGAAATGGCCTCAGGTCATGAGGCCTGGATCCAGCGAGGCTTGTGTGAATCTCCTATCTTACCTCTGCTGCCCTCTCCCCCACTGCGCCCGCCTCCCCGCCCAGCCACCGCGCGCCTCTCGGGTACCTGTCCCTGCAGCAGGAGTCGATGCTCAGCTCGTCGATGCCCCAGTACTGGATCTCCTGAAGGAAGGAGAGCGCGCACAGCTGCTCCATGACGTGCAGGCGGCCGGTGCGGTAGTAGTGCAAGACGTAGCGGAATGCTTGCGAGCTGCGGTCGAAGAAGTACTCGTTGTCCACGGGGTTGGCATCATCGCAGAACTCCAGGGGGCTGGGCACGGCGGTCAGGGCCCCGGGGCGGCGGCATGAGGCCACCACCACCGCCAGCTTGCCAAGGCGCGTGTGCGGGAAGCAGGACAGCGCCTGCTGCGAGAGCACGAAGCGGCTGCCGCCCACGTTGACCGTGAAGCAGTCCCCGAGCGCCAGGGGCTCCCCTTCACCCTCGCTGCAGAAAACGCTGGAGTCCAGCGAGGTCAGGGAGCAGCTGTCCAGCGGCGAGTCCGGCGGCGCCCGCCCTCGGGGAGGCAGCTCCATCCCCGCCGCCGCTGTGTGAGGGCGCCACAAATTTGGGGGGCGCGCCGGAAGCCTCGGTCCGGCGAGGGTGGTGGCACGGCCCCTGGTGGCAGCCGGGATTTCCCTGACTCCCGAGGGGGGTGCCTCCCGCCCGCGCACCCTTCCACTCTCCACCCCCTGTGCTCGTTCCGCCTGCGGCCGCTAGGGCGCGGCGAGTGCGCGATCTCAGCGCTCGCGGGCCGGGGCGCCGGGGCTGAAGGATCGCGCCGGGGCTGAAGGATCGCGCCGGGGGTGGGGAGAAGCTTAGACGCGGTCTAGGCGGGGACAGTCCCGGGGCACCCTGCCGGGCGCCGAAACCCTTCCCGGACTCACGCCCCCCCCCCCCTCCCCGCCCCGACCCCTACTAAGTTTATGCTGGAGATTCCCTGCCTGGGAGGTGTACGGATTCAATGCTTCGCTACCGAGGGGGTGGAGCGGGCGGGGAGGGAGAGGTAGGAGGTCTAGAGTGGGGGAGGAGGACAGGATGACTCTGGGGGGAACGAACCGCGGCCAGGGGCGGGGGTGGTGGTAAGACTCACTCCAGCCCAGGAGACCAAGAGGAAAAGTTCAGAAAGCAGGGGAAGTGGTAGCCGGGTCTGAGTTCTCTCCAACTTGAGGCTCTGTATTTCCTCCGTCGTCTTTTCCTGCGGCGGCTTCAGAGGCCTCCCCGGGAATGGTCGCTGGGGGCGTGAGCACGTGGCGGAGGGTGCCCAGGGCGAGGGGGCCACATCATCTGCTCCTATTCATTCTCATTCAGGTCTGATTGTCACTCACGCTCTATTTTCTCCTCCCTCCCTCAGGTTTCGACCTCCTGGTTGAGGAATAAGGATAATTGGTTTTGACTTTTAACTCAAGTCCCAGTGAGTGACTAAGGACTAGGGATCACCGTTTGCCGCCGCGTATCGAGGCACTTTGAGCCCTTGGGTTTAGCCATTTCTGCCGGCCCAAGTTTCCCAGAGAGCAGGCGTTCTGGGCTTGTTCTCCGGCACAGAGCGGAGCTCTCCTTTTAGGAGAAGGGAAGGCAAAAAGATAAGGAATAGAACAGGCGTGGGCTGGGGCAGGAGTTTAAATAGTAACGCCGACTCGGTAAAGGGAGCAGCCGAGCGCGGTGCCCAGGTGAGCCTAGAGGTGTGCCCACCGGGCCCCTTGGAGTCGCGCCCCGTCCAACCTGTTGGACACGGGGTGGGGGTGGGGAGGAGGGCAGGGTGACTCACCTTCCGCTCCCGGCACATCTGCGCAGCGCTCGGAGGCCGCGGCTGGTTAGGTTGCCTTGCTTAGATCTCCTGGTGTGCACGTGAGGTCTGACTTGACAGGTCCGGGAAGACTGTGTTCCAGGCTGAGCTCGGCGCCGGCGCTGCGCTGGTTGCTCAGACTCGCCTCATCTCCACCGCCTCCGGCTTCGGCCCCTCGGCCGCCCCCGCCCGCACTAGCGAGCAGTTCGCGGTTTCCAGCACCAGCTGTGGGGAATGCTGCGAGCCGAGGGAGGTGAGACCGGAGGAGGAAGAGAAGCACTCGGTGACTCTGAATATTATATTCATCCTGAAGACACCTCAAGGATTGCTGTTTGGATTCCCGTTTGCCTGAGCTATGTGCTCACAAACGCTCAAGAACATAAATTTTCCATAAGTCTGCGAAACTCAGGATTAGGGTAGTTATAGTAACTGCTTTGTGTGGCATGGTTCAGGGTTTTCTCAATATTTCCAGCAAGCATCTGGGAATCTTGCATTTTTCGAAAAGTCTTTGCGAGAAAGTGTGAAGCACACATCTTTTTCTTTTTGCAAGTAGTTTTAGAGACCATATATAAAGAGATGAGCAGGGAGCTTAGTACAGTGGGAAAAACTTTGATAAACTGACTCGAAACCGGGCTGTTTGGTTCTGGCTTTGCCGGATGGCTGTGGGACCTCCAGCTGTCATTTACTTCATGGGCCTCAGTGCCTTCCTCAGCAAAATTTCATGTTTCAAAAAAACACCCAAGGCTCACTTGGGGCTTACTTTTATGTCAGGAAATTTTGTAGGCCTTTTACTCATTCAGTGCCTTATTTAATCATAATAACAATACTATGAGGTAGCAGCATACCCATTCTACAGAAGAAGGATATTGAGGCAAAACAGAGAAATTAAGTGATTTACTTAGGGTCGTACAGCCCAAATTCAAACGCAGGACTACTTATCAAAGGCTGTAGTCATAAACACAATGCTTGGGACATCTCCTTTTGTGTGACTTTCAAATAAATCAAAGCATGTTTGCTTTTATTTACTTTTTAATCTATTTTTGCAAATTTCTAAAGGAGGGCAGGAGTTTAAGGATGTATTTTTCCTGATCTTTCAACAAATGTTTACTGAGCATCCCCCATGTACCAGACACTGTTCCAGGTGCTTCCGATGGATCCACGAAGAAGAACAGACAAGATCCTTGTCCTTATGGAAATGAAGTTTTTTTCCTGTGAGAATGAAGAGCAAATTCAGCAAAAATTAAAACAAACAAACAAACAACAACAACAACTGTATAATATTTATAGGTTATGGTTCTTTCGGCAGGTTAACTTTTGCTTCTTTAATAGAAAATAGGGAGGAGTTAAAATTACCCTGGTAAATACTTCATCATTACATTTAGGTTCTTTATTAATTTATTTAAGGTAGCCGAGCTTCTCTTATACAGGAAGAAAAATCCCCAGCATCTCTGTTGTCAATTATTTGGCCCTTGAAAGGGGCAAAAGTCCACAGTTCCATTAAGCCTTTTTCATACCTTCATGTAAATAACTTGCACCAAATGATTAACATTAAAGGTCTACCCTAGCTTTACAGATGGTGGTGAAGAAGGAGGAATGCTTTGGAGGAGAATGACAGCTTTCAATGAGAAGGGGGATCTTGGACAGGTAAGGAGGTTCGTTAACAAATGGTTAGTTAACAACTTGGATTAACAACTCCAGTAACTTGGAGGTTAGTTAAATGGTGACTGCGTCTTGCAGGTCTCCTCCACTGCCACCAGGACCCTAGACTTAAGTTGTGGTTTGTGGTATCCTGTAGAAGGAATTATAACAATAACCACCTTCTAAGTGTAAAGCCCAAGCTAAGCATCTGAATTCTTACAATGATCCTATGAAGTAATGTCTTGCTTGTTACAGATCTCAGCTTAGAGGCTCACAGGCACTAAGGAACTTTTCCAGTTTTATAGTGAATATGTGAAGGACCATATGAAGGGATCAAAACTGGGGTCTTTCCGACTCCAGATTTCATCTCACCTGCTAAGAGCCTAAAATTTTCAATTGGGCTTCAATGGTGATTGAAACAATTTCCACTAAATAAAATAATCATAACTAGAGACATGATGACTCGTTAACTGGGAATATAGAAACACAAATGACCCATTTTAAAATATAGAGTCTCTTGGATAATGAAAATGTCTGCCTGGGCGCCTGGGTGGCTCAGTGGGTTAAAGCCTCTGCCTTCGGCTCAGGTCATGATCTCAGGATCCTGGGATCGAGCCCCGCATCAGGCTCTCTGCTCAGCGGGGAGCCTGCTTCCCCCTCTCTCTCTCTCTATCTGCCTCTCTGCCTACTTGTGATCTCTGTCTGTCAAATAAATAAATAAAATCTTTAAAAAAAAAAAGAAGAAGAAGAAAATGTCTGCCATCTTTTCTGTCCTGCTCCCTTTAATCTATTGTCTCTTCTCCATTGATTACCCAGGTTTGAATCAGAGATCCCAAAAAAAAGGAAATGATAAAAGCAGAAATAAATTCATTCAAAGGATATTCTTCCTGGTCCCTGATCTTGACCTGAGGTATACCCTAAAATATGTCAAGAAGTGAAAGGAGAATTGCTGATAAGTACTTGGGGGTGGTGAGGTCTTGCTTTTGATTTCATTCTTACAAAGCATGGGAGGAATGTGATTGTCACGTAGGAGGCAGTACAGTACTGAGATGTGAAAACTCAACTTTCGAATGGCTTTGGGTATATTCTCTCTAGTCATCAGTTGTTGTATTAGGTGATTTTCCATTAGCAGTCTTGTTAGAAAATGCTTTCCTAGTGTTTGGCTTTATTTATCAAGTCTTCCAAACATTGATTTGAATATTAAATCTCCAGGTACAACTAGTGTTTTTAATTCTTCCAATTTTTGTGAAGTTTTCTAAATTTTTTAAAGAACAACATGCGTTCCTAATAGTTATTTTAAAAAACTGAATTAAAAGAAAAAAACACAGCATACTTTAAATGTCTGATTATTGATAACAATAGGGGCCCCTGGTTGGCTCAGTTGGAAGAGCATGTGGCTCTTGATCTCAGGGTGGTGAGTTCAAGCCCCATGTTGGGGGTAGAGATTAAAAAAAAAAAAAAAAGAAAAGAAAAGAAAAGAAAAGAATTGATTATTGTTAACAGTTAAGAAAATAAAAGTTAAAGTCATTTGAAGCATATTAGGAATTCTTATTAAATCCCTGGAACATTCATCTAGGTTTTTGAAAAAATAATGAGAATATATTTATATTAATATTGCATTTGTTTTTCTGTTATGTTCTTAAATAATATATTATGGTGCTCTTTGAAATCATTAAGTCTCATCTTTGATAAGAATGTTTTAAAATGATTATACGTATATGATCATGAGTCATTGAAAAAATCTTTAGAAAAATGAGCATTCATTATTAATTTATATCCAAAATACTACAACTTTACATTTATTTTTGATAATTAAATAGGTAGGGGAGACAAAACAAGTAAATACTTTTGATAAAAAGCTTTATAGAATTAAACTTGAGTAAACTCTACCTTTTCATTTTCAATTGCTTTGGTGTAGACTCATAACCTTACACTATAGTCCCATTAACTTTTATCACTCATTAACAATGCAGACCATATTTTATATGAGGTGTGCATGCTTATCTTTGACTCGGTACTTAATTTCCCAGGGAATGACCACCAGATGAGCTCATTGTAATGTTTAAAAATGCCTTTGTGTATGGATAAAATGACATTGTCCTCTTCATTGCA